AAATGTAAGGGAGGTAATCGGCATATAAACTGTACCCATTACCTACCTTTAACTAACAGCTGCTCTGGTGTACCAGATACAAGTGATGGCAGGATTTCTTATTATAAATGTTAAATTCGTTAAGATTTTACACTAGTAACTGATGATTCTCAGTGAACGTTAAATGATATAGTTAGCCTCCTCAATTCTCCCCAGTATTCTTAATGATTTTAGTAATGCTGGCACCTAGATATTCATCTTGTCATCAGATTTTCCCTCTTTTTTTTTTTTTTTTTTTTTTTTTAGCACAATTTTTCTCAGCATAATTTTTCTCTAGTGTTCTAAGCATGCTATTAATAATAATAAAAAGAATTATTGCCACTTCATCCCACAATTTTGTTTCTATTTTATTTTTTCGCGTTCTCTCACAAAATTCAGATAGTTTTCCAAGTTTTTCCATACTTGAAAATTTTACTCTGTTCTGCTGACACACCAGCATTCACTCTCTAGATTTTTTTTTTTTAAATCAGCTATTTTGCCGGTCTCAGTAAAATAGACAACAAGGCTATTTTGTCAGTAAATATAGTGTCTTAGAAATAAGAATATATTATATTTGAGATTGTCAGCACATTGGTTATGTGAGCTGTGTAGACAACTTGAACAGCATTGATTCTGTGGTCTGTGACTGTTGTTCTCAGTGGGTGCACCTGAAGATGTATTGGCAAGAAAACCATGTCTAAGAGCAAGTTTGGAATTTTCAGAGACTGTTATATCTAAAGTGCTAATATTTTAATATTCAGAGACTTCTATATTTCTTGTAATAAGGGATGATTTTAACTTGTGTTTTAACAATTGATGGTGGAAAAGATTTAAATTGTTGTAATGATTGAAGGTGAAAATAAATAAACTGTGTTAAATCTGTGTGTTATTTTTAATTTTAACATTTCCTGCCTTCATAATAATAAAGATATTTATTGGCAAAATATCCTCTTCCTTTTTTTTTTTTTTTTTTAAATTCATTTTAGATCTGGTTTGGATTGGTTTATTTGCATTGGATCCTTTCTAACCTAAGCCTATTTTTGTAGACATTCTCAGCTAATTTGTTGTTTTCACTTATATGATTAGCAACTTTATCAATTCTGATTAACAGACTTGTCCTTACATAATTAATGTTGTTTGAGTTTTCACACCTGTAATATTTTGCGGCTATCACTCAAGATTAAGCAATAGTAAAACTTCTTGGTCAGCTAATTTTGGCAGTGCATTCATTGGAATTTTTCTCCAACCTTTTCTCTTCTTGTGGATGTTTTAGTTCTTGCAGAATCATTCTAAATGTGACAAAAATACTGGGTATAGCTGTCATATTTATGTTCCACAATTTTTATCTGTCTTCTCACAAACTTTATATATCTGTTCATCTTCTTCATTTTACCTTTGTCGACTGGAATGTTCACATTCATTCTGACAAATGTTCTTGTTTGCAATAACTAAATTTGGTTTTCTGGCATGAACTGGATGATCCGTTTTAAGTCTTAGAGAATGTTGTGCTTTTTAATCTCCAAGACCGGTTCTGTCTTTTACATATATCATTGGTTTTCATTGTTGAATCTTGATGGTTTTCACTGTTCCAAATGAATCGTATAATTCTTATAATTTAACAATTTGCAATATTTGCTGAATTTCATAAAGTTTACTTGTTTGTAATTTTTTTTTTTTATTATTATTATTGCAAAAAAGCCATGAAAATTCTGAAAAATATTTGTTTGAAAAATTTTGATAATTTAACAAATTATAAATAAATTAAAATAATTGAAGATTTATTTAGTGTAAAAAATGATTTAGTTTATGATAGATACTGTTATAGACTTCAAAAATTTTTATTGCAATAATTTACATGTCCTTGAAATTTGGAAGCCCAAAAAACAAACAGAATCCTGATTTCTTAGTGCGTATAGATTCTGTCATCAATTGACAATCTTGTAAAGATTAATGTCTTCACTCGAGGAGATAAGCTGCAAATGCATGCATTGGTTCACTGGGAGATAATCAAGAAGGTAATAGACATTTATTCCATTATATACGTTTGCGAAATGTAAGGGTTTGTAATAGATAAAAAATTTTCTTTTTCTTTAATTCCATTATCTTTTGAAATCATCCTGTCAAATGGATTTTATTAAACTTATCACCCGTATTAACTAATAACATTTATAAAGTGTCTTTGCATAATAATTTTAAAATATTAGAACATTAATTAAATAAATAACCATGAATTTAAAAAAAAAAAATTCCAGTAGGTATTTTATTCTTTTACAACACACACACACACACATATATATATATATATATATATATATTACTAAGAATTCTTTTAAGACTAGGTGGTATCAACATATCTTATCCTTCACCAATAGTACTTGTAAAAATAGTAAATCTCTTTCTAAATGTTTTTGGGGAAAAAAAAAATGCTTATAAAACTCTGAAGGTGAAATGGAAAATTAAAAAAAAAAAGCTAGAACATACAGATCTTTAAATGAACCATGTTTTCTATGCTTACATGAAAAAAAATAAAAATTAATCAGATTTTCTGGTTAAAAAAAAAAAAAAAAAAAAAATGCTGTATTAAACCAAAGAAGTGAATTGACTGTAAATTGTAGGCATAGCCTACCTTTTACCTCACAATATGAACTTTGAATTTGATAATACTTTTTTGTATAGTAATAATTAGATGAACTGTGATGCAGCTTATATGGCTATTTTATTTGTAAGATTCATTTTGATTTAATATTGCTTTGTATTGATGTTTGATTAGTATTATTTACATCTTTATATGGATGTACAGGTGTTTAGTTATTATTATTAACATCTTACATTGATTAGTTGATATTGTTACCATCTTATATGGATGCTCTTTATTTAACAGCTGCATATTAATTTGCCAAAATAGTTCTGTATTTTTGATCTGGTATGTTTTTTTTTTTTTTCTTCAAATGGTTAAGTTATTTACCAGTTTCTTAAAGGGGCCTTTAATTTATCAACTATTAAATTTAATGTAAGACGCTGAACAAGCATATAACTGGTTAGCATTGTGTTAAATTACCTCCCTACCCCTCTTAGCTTTTTACTTGGAAAGTTGAACGTCAGACTTTGATACATCATATGAAATAATGTAACAACTTGTTTCTGTCCATAAGGAAATTTACTAGGATTTATATGGAGACAACTTTGAGTCCTGACCTATATTAAAAAACTTTTGCAGTGAGTTTGAATTTAGTATAAGTCACATTTATCACAGCAAAGCCCACAAGCCTATTTTTTTTAATTTTTTTTATTTTATTTTTTTATTTTTTAAGTATTCTGCTTTTGAAATTAAATTAATCTTTCATATGCTAGTGGCTTAACATCGCCTGAAGAGGCACATTTCTGGTATTGAAACATGATTGTAATCATGTAGTGATTTTTAACATTTTTGTTTTAATATCCTAAAATAAATATTTAATTCTAGTCTTTATTGAGCCCTTTTTTTAAATGTTACGTACAGTGGTATTATACTCCATTTCTTCTCATTTTATCTGGAGATATATAATTACACATTGAGTGCAAATAAAATAGTGCTTGATGTAGAATAACAGAGCTATAATTTATATATCAATAATAAATATGTTAGCTCTAACTCTGGTATTGAGCACTTTCTAATAAGTACCCCATATAATATATATATATATATATATATATATATATATATATATATATTTAAAAGCGGACCACTTTAAGGTTCCATTATAATAATTTATTTCAAAGATGAAAGGGACGCTGGATTATAATACTTCAAAAAATGAAACGAAAGATGAAATGAAAATTAATACTACCCATCAAAAGTGAATTTTCATTTCAAATTTCGTTTCATTTTTTGGAAGTGTTATCTGATGATCCAGCATCCCTTAAAAGGCTCTGGTGAAATAAATTATTATAATGGAACCTTAAAGTAGTCTGTTTTTCTTTAAATTATTAGCTCTGTATTTACATTGATCTCTCAGGATTTCATCCTCCTTGCGATTACCCATACGGATTACCAAGTTTTTCATAACTTGAATACACACACGCACACACACACACACACACACACACACACCCACACGTATTAATAATAAATATACATTCCCACCACCAGTTGCACAACACAATCTTCAGGTGTTCTCTATGGATTTTATAAAAATGTTAATACTTTGTACACAAATGAAAACTTATTGAAATAAAATAATTTATTAAATAAAGTAAGTATAGATTTGATTTTAAAAATTATTTCCAGAAAGTTTTCAAATAAAATTCTTTTCATAAATTCATTCATAACTAAATAAATTTTGAAATTCAATAATTAACCAGTTTTGGTATATATTTTTTTAAAATCAAGGTGTAATTTGCCTACAAATATTCCACAATGTTATTTTGAAATTTTTTTTTTTTTTTTTTTTTTTTTTTTTTTTTTTTTTTTTTTTTTTTTTTTTGTAAACAAATTTTCCAAGGTAGAAATCTGTTTTTTCTGTATATTGGACACAATTTCTATTTCAGAATTTTTTATTCCAATTACTCTTCTTTTGAATACCACAAAGACAAAGATAATTATGATAAAATTAACATGTTACAAATTTTGGGTGTTTATTTCAATAGACATTTCATTGTTTTTCAAAAGTGCATACAAATATGATAAGCTACAGTATTTGAAACATTGAAGGGATAAATTGTCTTGGATGGATGTTAAAGATACCATCATGGAAGAGGACTATAATAGTCAAGCCATCCTGTCATAAAGTTCATTATTTTAAAACCTTGTCGTTACCAAGACTTTTATACTAGGACAAACTCTATTGCCTTCCATAAAAAACATTTGAGTAAACATTGTAAAACTGAATTAACTTTATTTTGTTGGGTTGGTGTACATTTTGTAAAACAAAAGTAAATGTTGCTTTGTATCATGTGATCAGTATAATTGTCAATGTACTATAAAATTTATTTGTCTTTTTCAGACTTTGGCTTCTGCCCTTTGCCAGTTATACCTGGCAGAGTCACCAAATGTGCACCAATGGACCAAAAGGTACTGTGGTATTGTATGTTTTGTAAAAGATAGATCAAAAAGGTCCTACTATTTCCGCATATATGACCCAAAGGTTAGTATCTAGCATTTTTTCCTTTTGTATTTGTCTTTTCTTTTTTTTTCTTTTTTTTTAATTTTTCAAAAATAAAAGTTGATAATTTATTATTGATTTTTCTACTAACTTCAAATGGTACCAGCATTGAGTTCTGAATAAATGAAGGACATAATTTTCCAGAACTTTGAATTCCATCTTCTAATGATTGTTACAAAACAAATGTTACTTTTATTGTTTCTATTACTCAATCCATTGTTTTTAAGGAATCCTAAACTTTTTCACAGAACGTCGGCTTGAAATTCTTGAAATGTTTACTCCTTCTGTAAATCATAGATATTAAACACTTTAAATAAATTTTGAAATCTCAAACTTTAAGTGATACATGATTTTTTTTACACCATCTTATATTATCTAAATTAAAGTTTTGCACCTAATAAAATAAGTATAAATTGAGATGTTACACATTGCTCCATAAAGGAATGTTATATTTTCTTTGAGATATTAGTATGTCTACTACTTCACACTATATCTATTTGTTCTTGCATAAAAGAAAGTATAATTTTTTACTTCCACTGCTTTTTTATTCTGTACTTTTCAATAAAAAATTGTCTACAGCCAAAATGGAATTTTACAAAAAAATTCCCAAAATAATTTATATCTGATCTGGAAACCTATCTTTGTTTAAAAACCTGAATATCAACTGAAATGTATGTTTTTTTTTTTTTTTTTTTTTTGTTGTTGTTAATCATCTCACCCCAAGCAAAGCAATAAAGCCACTAAAATGCAAGGGATTACAGAGTGTGAGGGAAGGAGAAAAAAAACTTAGATATTCTTAATAAAATTCAAAGAAGAATCTACAATGCAAATGGCATCTCAGCTTCAGTCCCTTTCTCATTGCCATAACATAACTTCCATGTGCCTTTTCTATAAATATTTTCATGGTAATTGTTCTGAACTTTCTGCTATGCTAAGTTTGGGTCAGTAATTGTGGCTAGCTAAGCTTAAAATAAGACAGATTGAAGACCACCCATCCCCCTTTTGGCTTTGTGCCACATTTTTGTATTTCCAAAATAAATATTACTTTCTGCTATGGTACCTAGACTTTATGAATTTAAGCACAGTACTAGATTGGCAGCAAGGTCTCTTCATTTTTACAGTTGAAATGACTAAATGCTTTATTGCTTTGATTGGGGTGACATGATTAGAATATATATAAAATAGTGACATGGTCTCATCTTCCAGCTGAAATAACTAGATCCTCTTGTAAGTTCTATGATGACAGTTTCTTCTCTCACGCTTCTTGCTTCTGGAACTCTCTTTTGACTTCTTGCTTTCCAATAAAGTTTGATCTTCAAAAATTTAAATATAATGGCAATTGTTACCTTCTATCTTCATAATTCCTGTTCTTTTATTGTTCTCTCTCTTTAATAAGTTTTTCTTGTATTCTTCCGCACTCTGTAACCTCCTGGCATCATAGTGGCTTTATTGTTTTGTGTGGAGTGAAATGATTGCAGTAAATCTGATGGATTGGGTTTGGATCAAGGAGAGATACCTATTGGATTAGATGCACTTTGGTTTGAATACATTGTAAACACTAGTTTCACACACTAGTTCTCTGATTATCCCAGAATGAAATATCATTATAAATGATTAAATTAGGAGGACAAATCAAAATATTAAAATTTTAAAATGTCTACACAAGTGTTAAAATTAATACTTTATTTTTTTCTTTCCTTTTTTTTTCTTAAATATTTTTTATCAAACTATGTGTGAGCCTTACACAGGCAATATAGTTTTTTTTAAATATTTTTTATTAGGTAGCTGCGTGCTACCTAATAAAAAAATATTTAAAAAAATTTTATAGAGTAGGAATCAATATCGCACTTACAGAATATGCAAATATAGTTCCATGTTAGATTTTGTTTAAAAAAAAAAGTTCAAGATATTAATGTGGATCTATATTTGCCTATTTTGTGAGATACAGATTCCAAGTCGCTACTATAAATTATTTTATCATTTTAAAAAAAAATATCCCAAGTTCAAATATGAACAATGACTTTAATGTATTTATATTACATTTATTCATTAATGCGGAAATCATTCAGTTGAATAAAAATCTTTTTAATAACAGAAGCTTTTAAGATACATACTTATCAATATAGGTATTTTATTTCATTTCTAATATTGTCTTTTATCACTATTTACAATTCTCTTCTGTATTTTTTGCATTTTTTAATTGCTAAATATTAATCAGGTGTATAATTATGTTTCACCTTAATTATTCCGTATACTCATTAAATTCATTTTTTTTTTTTTTTTTTTTTTTACACATCCAATTTTTTTTTCATTCTCATTGCATTTAAGCTTTATATACTGTCATTGTTTTGTTTTTTCCTCTCTCTCTCTCTCTCTCAATGCAACAACCAACATTGATGAAAATTGTTTCTCTCATGGTTATTATCGTTGACCTTTATACAAAGTTGGCTTCATATTGTTTTAACCTTCTCATTAGCTGTATTGCTTGAAACTTGTTCAGATAATTATTTAATTCTATGTACAAAATAAATTTGGTCAACTGAATGAGTAATTTTTTTTTTATACAAGCCTTATTCAAGGTGATCAAGTAAGAGGATACTAGAATCAAGGTTAGGGTTAATGCAAAATACACACACACACACACATGTGTGTGTTTAGTAAAATTTCAAATATAACAGAAATATATATCTGTAAAAGAAAAAAGTAACTTATTTAGATGGAAAATTTTCAAGAGTGCCACTATCAAATATTATCAAAATTCACACTGTCCCTATCTACAAATACACAGTCGTTGATCTTGCACATTCTTCCCCCATTAGTAAATTTTAAACATGTATACATATACTTGTATACATGAAGTTATAAAAACATGTAATTACAAGAATGAACTTAACTCTTAACTAAAGCATTAAGACAAGTTTACAGTGAACTTAATAACAACAAAAACATTTTAATTTAGAAGAGTAATAAATCCAATATTTTTATTTTAAATGAGACTGACTCCAATGCAAAACTTGACTATTTTAAACCACAAAACCAAATTCAAAAAATTATATAAAAACACCAACATCAGGGCACAAATAAACAAGTTTATCATAGCTAATAACAGCTAATAACGTGGAAATTGAGTCCCTCAAACTTCATGAAATTCCAAGTGAATATTATTTCCATATAGATAACTATCTCTTTACTACATCCTATAATTTCAAAAATCTTTGTCCTTGTAATGCACAGTTCTTGATATTGACTAGAATGGTCAAAAGCACTTGAACAAAACATGAACTTTGGACAGTTTATCTACAATTTCGATCCTAATGTACATTTTATTTGAAAATGAGAAACTTCAATAAAAAATTAAACTTTCTTGGTTGAAATTAATAAAACTTGCTTGAATGAATTCTTGCTGCCTAAATACACCTATATAATACCCTGGTATCACAGAGTAGCTTTGGTATTGTCAGATTTTTTAATATTAAAAAAATTAACAAGAAAAAAAAGTAAAGTTCATATTCCAAAAGGGCAACAGTTTGACGATATTGATAAAACACACTTGTGTTTTCTCAATATCATAGATTTTAAGTGAGAAACATTGAAAAAAAAAAAAAAAATTCAGTACTATTAGTTATCATATCTAAAAATGAAAGGGTGAAAAAAGTTGCCAGAAAAGCATGTGTATTGTGTACAAAAGTGTTGTGTGTTTGGGCAGGAAATAAACATGTTTTTTTATGATTCCCTTTCACTGCATTTTGTTAGGATCCAAAGTATAGTATCTACTTCTTTTTTTTTTTTTTATCAACAAGACAGTTCCTCCTCTTTGGTGCACACTGCTAGCAGTGTGGCCATGCTTGCACTGTAACAGCAGCAAGAAAATTTTCAATCATGTGACCAAAATAGTACCAACTATCTGCATGCATGAACAGAAGGCAGTAACAATCCTAAAGAAATGTCATAGTGAAAGTTCAAATAATTTTTGACTTACCCTTGTAAATAAGCATTAATGTGTAAATTACACTTTATTTATTTGTTATTTTACTTGAACTATAAGCTAGGATTAATTTGGCAGATTAGGATAATCTGTTTAATAGTATAAGTTGTACCCTTGGATGAGCAATGTCAAAGATTAGTCTAATCACCTGTTTGGTGCCTAGATTTTGAAAATTGTGCAGCTAAAGCTTCATGCAAGATTTCATTCTTGTACAGGTGAGCCATAGGTAGAGGAGCAGCTGTACCAAGCAGGGTGCTACCAGCTGTACTCTGTCTTTTCGTTCATTTTACAAAAATTATTTTGGGCTATGGCAATGGTGTACTCACACCGTCCTAAGCTGTGTGATTCTTACCATGATTATGATCCATACAACTTGGTCAAGGAGGCTTCTGCAACACAAATATCAGAATCACAACAGTATTTATATAGTCAAGAGTTTAATTCTGAGCAAAGCATAAATGGATATGATCAAAAGCCAGGATCCCTGCATGTATCTAATGCCCAGCCTGCCTACGATCATCATCAAACTAATGTTTATCAAAATTCTAATTCCTACCAACCGAATTATGAACAAATAACAGATTTGAATTATAATTATGGACAGAAATTGGAGATTGAAAGAGGTCAACAATCAAAGTCGCACTTTGACCTTACAGAGTACAGCCAAAATCCAACCTTGAGCAACGTCAGCAACTCTCAAGAATACAATCATGATTCTAATCATGAAGAAACTACTTATGATAACCCGAAGCCCTCTCTTGAAGACTTAGCACCTGCTCTGCTCAAAGCATTAGAGCAATATCGAAATACTATTCCCCGTATGCGCCGGAACCAAATATCCCACTCACATCAAGATATCACTAAAGATGTTTCTGAAAGATTCACTGCTCCTAACCAGTCTCAATCCCTTACAAGATCCAGCCACCATTCAAGCCAAAATCAGTTGGACCAACACCAAGCTTTTGATGTCCAGCAGATGTGGACCAAAGCACTTGAC